CTCAGCCACCTCCTCTTTCACCCACCCATCCTTCCATCCACCCACCCATCCATCCTTCTGCCCAGCCAGCCGCCCGCCCCCCTTCCATGCATCCATCCTTCCATGCATCTTTCCATCTTCCCACCTACCCGTCCTTCCACCCACCCTTCCATCCACTCATCCTTCCACCCACCCGTCTTTCCATCCGCCCGTTCTCCCATCCCTCCATCCTGTGCATATGTACCGGGGATACCTAACATAGAAGTCACGGTCCCACAGCAACTGTTCCCAGTCGAATGGGGGGACAGTCACAGAAGCAGAACCAGAGCACCCTGGCGAGCCTAGCCTTAGAGCCAAGCACTGGGCATCGGGAAGCCAAAGGCAGGACCTGACCCAGGCGGGGGCTGGGAGCTGGGGGCTAAGCCTGGAGCATTGAACGCTGAGATTGGAGCTAAAGGGTACGTAGGTGTTGGCGGGTGTGCCATGTGGGGGAAAGAGTGTGCGCAGAGCTGGGGAGAGCAGGTGTGGGCATGAGTTGGGGGTGTGGAGGGTGAGGTGTGGACATGGGGTGGAGATGGGGCTTCTGCCCGCAGAGGGTTGGACCGGGCTGCAATTCGGGGAGTCTGCAGCTAGGGTCTACACGTGCGGCCTTCCTGGACTGCCCCCACGGGCCCTGTTCTGCCCTCTGAGGCCCACCTGCCCTCCCTCCACCTCTGCCTCATGACCGACCCTCAAACACTAGAAGCCCTGGGCTCCCACAAGGTCCCCAAGGCCGCCCCTGGAGATGAGTTCCTTGAAGGGAACCTTTGGGGCCTGCAGGAGACGGGGAGCCCCTCAGGACACAGGCTGGGTCAGGGTGCCCAGGTGCACCCAGCTGGTCCCGCAGCTTAGTGGGCACCCTTGGGACAAGGAGCCCCTGCTGGAGGGAGGAGGAGACCTAGCGACTGAGCGGCGGTCTGAGGAGCAGCTGCGGGGTGGCCCGAAGCGTCAGGGTGAGAGCAGGCCGGGCTGGGGGGCCAGCGTGGAAGGGAGTTTTCCCGGTGGGCCAAAACCATGTCCCTGAGCTGGGCTTGTCCCCTGGACCAGGATGGCCGATCCTACCGGGCACTGCAAGGTTCAGTGGCAGCTCCGTCTCTCCCAGCCCTCAGCCAAGCACTGTCCTCGGGGCTCAATCTTTACAACAGTCCCGGAGCAACTATCGTCACCAGCACCCATCTTACAGATGGGAAACTGAGGCTCAGAGAGCTAACACATCACCACCCGGAATGGAGAGTCGAGACCTCACCCCCCTTTCCTCAGAGGGAGGCGTGTGGTGCTGAGCAGTGTGGATCGAGTTCTTGCTGTCCTTGGGGCGCTGTGCCCTCTGGGTGGTGTCTGCTCGGGGTGCCCAGCTCTCCTACACACCCTCGACCGAGTCCCGGGGACAGCAGCAAACCTTCATTTACACAAGCGGCCGAGAGGGTCACCTAGCCTTTGGTTTTAAACCTCAAGAACCCGACCCCACGAGTGGCAGGCTATCCTTACCTGTTCAGCATCTCATTTATAGACCGGACACTTCCGACGGGTACGTTCAGATTTGGCCGCTAGGGACCACATCGAAGCTCATAACCCGGTTTCCTCCGCGCAGCGCAGCCGTGCCCTTATCCGACGGCGCCACCTCATGGCCGCATCGCACCCGTGCAAGCCAAATACGTCCTGAAAGACAGCGTCTCCGTCTTCTGCGAGACTGGCTATGAGCTTCTGCAAGTGAGTTCGTGCCGGACTCAGGTCACCACTGTCATGATTGCTTTGAAAGGCACACATACAGGGCAGCCCTTCAAGTCCCCTCCCCCCTCCCACAGTGAGGGCTTTTCTGTCCTCTCAATAACTCCTGCTTAAAAAAAAAAAAAAAGAAATGTGGACATACAGAGGGTGCCAAAAATCGTACACATTTTAAGAAAGGAAAAAAACTATTAAAATTGTAATACTCAGGCCAGGGACAGTGGCTCACGCCCGTAATCCCAGCACTTTGGGAGGCGGAGGCAAGAAGATTGCACGAGCCCAGGGATTTGAGATCTGCCTGGGCAACCTCATCTCTGCAATAAATCCAAAAAATAAGCCGGGCGTGGTGGCCCACACCTATGGTTCCAGCTACTTGGAAGGCAGACGCAGAAGGATTGCGGGAGCCCAGCAAGTCAAGGCTGCGGTGGCTGTGAGTGTGCCACTGCACTCCCCCCTGGGCAACAAAGTGAGACTCTTGACTCAAAAAAAAAAATTGTAATACTCAATATATACCAATATCAAAGATGAATACAAGTCACATTTGACTTCTGCAGTGAATTGTTCAAAATGGTTACCATCAGTGGCTAGACACTTCTGATTATGGCGAACATCTCTTAAAATGTGTATATATTTTTTGGGCTCCCCTGGTATTTATGTCAGCAGATATGTGAAAGAAAAATGGAAAACAGCCATGTCAGCATGGGAGTTTCTTCTGTCCAGGCTTAAAAGATAAAAATCAAAGAAAGAAGTTTTCAGGAGACAAGATGGAGAATTTTACTCCTGGAAATCCTGTCCCCTCCCCAAAGCTACTTTGGAAAGCTGGTGATGAGAGTGGGCACCTTTCCTGTGTGTTCACATGACAGCATCTCCTCGTAAAGAAAGATGAGTTTGCCATCCTGTCCCATGTGCTTGTGACAGCACCTGTATTAAGTTAAGGTCCTCCCCCTGGTCAAATGACCTTTCCGTGAAACAACTCCTGGGCCCACAAAAAATTAGACAGCCCTGGGAAGAGTATATTCTGCAAAGCTATAAATAGTGATCACTGTTTAGGGAGACAGGGTATAATTTTAAAAATGCTTAGTGTGTTGCTCTAAGGGCACAGGTAAGAGATTAACACGTCCTCTTTACGTTCTTCAAAATTGTCACCAAGTCCCAGTGGTAAAAAGTAATAACATGGAAATGATTGCCGGCTGTGCAGTCCGCAGTCCTGTGGAGAGTCAGGAAAAAAGTGAGACACTTTTCTCACCTTGCAAACTTCTGGGCAGGCTTTTTCCACAGCTCCTTGGGCTGTAAACCTGTTCAGTTTCTGATTTAACAAAAAAAAGTCCTGATGTATGCCCTTTGAAGCATGAAGCTTCTGCCAGAGTCATCTTCTTTCATTTTAATATTTGATTTTTGTGACAGGTTGTCACTCTGCCTCCCAGTGCAGTAGTATGATCACTGAAGCCTCCAACGCCTGGGCTCAAGTAATCCTTGCGCCTTAACTTCCCAAGTAGTTGGGACCACAGGCACATGCTACCGTGCTTGGCTGATTTAGAAACTTTTTTTTAAGGCAAGGCATAGTGGCTCATGCCTATTATCCCAGTCCTTTTGAGAGGCCAAAGTGAGAGGATTGCCTGAGTCCACGAGTTCGAGACCAGCCTGGGCAACTTGGCGAGACCTCATCTCTACAATAAATCATAAAACTAACCGGGCATGGTGGCACATGCCTGTAGTTCCAGGAAGGCTGAAGCGGAAGAAGCACCTGAGCCCAGCAGGTCGAGGCTGCGGTGGCTGTGAGTGTGCCACCGCACTCCAACCTGTGTGACAGAGTAAGACTCCAACTAAAAAAAACAACAAACCTTTTTTTTAGCCAGGTGCAGTGGCTCATGCTTGTCATCCCAACCCTTTGGGAGGCAGAAGTGAGAGGATTGCCTGAGCCTAGGGGTTCAAGACCAGCCTGGGCAACTTGGCAAGACCTTGTCTCTACAATAAATCAGAATATTAGCCTGGCGTGGTGACACATACTTGTGGTTCCAGCTACGTGGAAGACTGAGGTGGAAGGATGGCCCGAACCCAGCAGGTCGAGGCTGCAGTGGCTGTAAGCGTGCCACTGCACTCCAGCCTGAGCAACAGAGTAAGACTCCTACTAAAAAACAAAACAAAAAAATTTTTTTGGGTAGAGACAGGGTCACACTATGTCAGCCAGGCTGATCTCAAACTCCTGACTTCAAAAGTTAGTGTTTGATTTTAGAAAAACACTATTTTAGCAAGTCAAAGGTGTTTCCCTGATGCTGGCAGTGACAAGTAGTGGCAAGTCTCACGGAAGTATTTTCAGTGGCCTTCCTCGGCAAATGTCCTCAGGCTTGAAAGACACAGGCGCTTGCTCACGAGGGAGCACACCCGCCTTCCCAAACTTCCCAACACACCCCTCTGGCTCTTTATATAAAGAAATGGCCTGAGCCCGCGGGTTCGAGACCCGCCTGGGCAACTTGACGAGACCTCATCTCTACAATAAATCAAAAAATGAGCCGGGTGTGGTAGCGCGCCTGTAGTTCCAGCTACTCGGAAGGCTGAGGCAGAAGGATCGCCGGAGCCCAGCGGGTTGAGGCTGCGGTGGCCGGAAGTGGCCGCTGCATTCCAGTCTGGGTGACAGAGTGAGACTCCAATTCAAAAATAAATAAATGAAATAAAATAAAATAAAATAAAATGACAACAACAACAAAAAAGAAATGGTGAAGCATCAGCAGAAATTTTGTGATCATCCATGCTTTTAGGTTACAGTGGAAAGTCAGAAACATACCCTAAATTGTTGCAAAGGCCAAGAGGATGCCATCACCTGTTGAAAGATGAGACATGTGACTTAGCGATACAAGCGGCCAGAGCAGGCGCTGAATGTGCACACGCGCCAGGGCTGTGCGTCCACGTGCCAGGCATCCCACACAGCACACACAGGGACACCAGTCATGTGACTGCCACTCCCTGGGAGCTGTTGTGGGAGCATCACCTTGGGGAGGGATGTGGCCCCTGGCAAGACGTTAACCTCTCCTGATTCTCCTCCAGGGTTCTTCGCCGCTGGCATCATTTACCGCCGTCTGCGGGAAGGAAGGGTCCTGGGACCAGCCGGTGCCCACGTGCAGCAGTGCGTCCTGTGGTGACTGTCCCCCCACGACTGTCCTAACTGCCGCTGCTGCACCTAGCGGTTTTCTTTCTCCCTCTCCCCTCCTTCTCTCCTTCTTACATTTAAAAATTTTTTTGATTCGGAGTCTCACTCTGTTGCCCAGGCTGGAGTGCAGTGGCACACTCACGGCCACCCCAGCATCAACCTCGGCCTTCCAAGTAGCCGAAACTACAGGTGCGCACTACCACGCTGGGCTAATTTTTTATTTATTGTAGAGATAAGGTCTCGCCAAGTTGCCTAGGCTGTTCTCGAACCCGGGGACTCAGGCAATCCTCACCTCGGCCTCCCAAAGTGCTGAGATTACAGGCTTGAGCCACCGTGCCCAGCCTCTCTCTCTGTCTTTTTTCTTTGTTGGAGTCTCACTCTGTGGCCCAGGCCGGAGTGCAGTGGCACGCTCACGGCCACTGCAGCCTCGACCTGCTGGGCTCTGGCGATCCTTCCGCCTCAGTCTTCCAAGTAGCTGGAACCACAGGTGCACATGCCACCACAGCAGCTAATTTTTCTTGATTTGTTGTAGAGACACGGTCTCACCAAGTTGTCCAGGCTGGTCTCGAACCCCTGGGCTCAGGCAACCCTCTCGCCTCGGCTTCCCAAAGTGCTGGATTACAGGCTTGAGCCACCGCACCCGCCCGGTGCAGGGACTTTCAAAGGCTATTGGCGTTACATACCTAACCCGATGGAAAAGACCGCAGGGGGAGACATTTTGATTTGCTGTCAATTATAAAGTGAAAACACGCGTGGGTAAATGCACAGCAAGCTCCAAGCACTGGCAGAGGCACTGTAGTGGGAGGGAAGAATCGCAGCTCACGGCTCCACCTGGAAAAGGGCAGCGGGAGAGAGTGAAGCTCGTTATTGGCTTGTATTTGCACGACATCAATTTGGAAGCCAGTTTCATAGAAAATGCCTAGAAACAGGCTCCAGTCTGTTCCGAGACTTGCTAAAGCACCCTAGATCTGCTTAAGGCATTTTAGGGGAAAATAATTTACATGTTCTAAAGCTTGAGTACTTCTGGTAAATTATGATGGCTAGTTACCAGCCATATGTTCAAAGAACTTGAATTCTTTTTTTAATTACAAAAATTATCCATGCTTGATATGAAAAGAAAAAGTTGAACAGAACAGAGTTAAAGAAGTCAAAAGTCGACCTCCTTGCTCTTTCCTCTCTCTCCTTTCCACGTCCAGTGGACTCAGTGTGAAGTTTCTTGGAGGACATGCTTCTAGACATTGTTGAAACACACACAGATTTGGCCTTTTTTTTTTAAGTTGGAGTCTCACCCTGTTGCCCAGCCTGGAGGGCAGTGGCACGCTCACGGCCACCGCAGCCTCGACCTGCTGGGCTCCGGGGATCCTTCTGTCTCAGCCTTCCAAGTAGCCGGAACTACAGGTGCGCGCTACCACGTCTGATTTTTTATTTATTATAGACGAGGATGCTTTGGGGCTCTAAGGGTAGGATTTAGTAGTTGTGACAAAGACCATTTGGCTACACAACCAAAAATATTTACTATTTGACCATGTACAGAAAAGGCTTGCAGGGTTGCTCAGCCTGTAATCCCAGCACTTTGGGAGGCCGAGGCGAGTGGATTGCCTGAGCCCGTGGGTTCGAGAGTAGCCCAGGCAACTTGGCGAGACCTCGTCTCTACAATAAATCAAAAAATTAGCCGGGCATGGTAGCGCACGCCTGTAGTTCTGGTTACTTGGAAGGCTGAGGCGGAAGGATCGCTGGAGCCCGGCAGGTCGAGGCTGCGGTTGTCCTGAGCATGCCACTACACTCCAGCCTGATGACAAAGAGTGGGAATCTAGTTCAAAAAAAAAAAAAATAGAATTTAGGATCATACTCTACGTAATTGTCATGTGATTTGCTTTTTTCTTTTCCTTTTTTTGTGTTAGAGTCTTAATCTGTCACCCAGGCTAGGGTGCAGTGGTGTTATGATAGCTCCCTGCAGCCTTGACCTCCTAAGCTCATGTGATCCTTCTGCCTCAGCCTCCCGAGTAGCTGGGACAACAGGCTTGTGCCACCATGCCTGGCTTTCCAAGTAGCTGGAACTACAGGTGTGTGCCACCACACCCAGCTAATTTTTTTATTTATTGTAGAGATGAGATCTCACCAAGTTGCCCAGACTAGTCTTAACCTGTGGGCTCAGGCAATCCTCTCACCTCCACTTCCCCAAGTGCCGGGATCACAGGCATGAGCCACGCGCCTGTCTTTCTTCTTATATTTCAAATCTGCTCATCTTTCACCTCAGTGCATTCTAGTGCAGACCCAACAAGCTACTCGGGTGCGGGGGGCCAGCCCCTGCAAGTTTTGGGGAGTCCCTTGGAAGATGTGGTGGCGTCGGCGAAGCTGTAGGGATAGATATTAAAAGAAAGAAAGATGGAAGGATAGATATAAAGAGGAAGAAAGAGAAAGAAAGAAAGTGGGCAACTGTTCAGTGAAATGAGCAGAAGCCGTTTATTGAAAGTTACAGCAGGTATTTATCCCCAAATTTTACACAGGCAGTCTCACAAGTCTTTCACGTGAACACAAAGCCAGGTGCGGGGGCGGGGGGGCATCCCCCACCCACCAGATGCTTAGGTGTGAGGAGGAACAAACCCCAAGATTGTCTCATTGTTCCCTTTGCTAGTTAATGTTCTTCAAAAGCAGTGTAACAATCCTTACTAGTCTAGTGATGTTCTGATAATCAATAACTTTTAAAGCTCACTCAATACCCATGACGACTAAATTAAACTCTACCACTTATACAATGCTACAGAAGCTCTTAATTATAGCTTAAGCCAATTTCCTAAAGAATGTGGCCCAGTCCAAAGATCACACTGGGCCCTACAGGATGTGGCCCAGTCCAAGGTCCACGGTGGGCCACCTTTTGGAACAATAGACTACAATCTCTTAACAAAATGGCTATTCCAAAGTCTTATATGTCTATCCTAATTTCTATGAAAGTTTTCCAATTCTTAATTCTAATATATAAAGTTGATTAGCAGCAGCAAAGCTTCTAAAACCTAAATGTAAATTGTAAATGTACTGAGGCAAAAACTTCGATAGTAGAAAGCGGAGACGATGAAAATTCTGAAAGTTAACTATACTCTTATTAAACCTAAAAATATTATGATTGATTATGTATGGACTAACTTGATTCGTAGCATGACCTATTCTACAATACCTTCTATGAATAAAATAAATTCAATTTCTATAACAGGTAGAAAAGAGACCTTACACTAACTGTAGCTAAAGCCGACCCAAAAGAATGCAGCCCAGTCCAAAGTACGTGCTGGGCTCTCAGGAATGTGGCCCAGCCCAAACTCTGTGCTGGGCCACTCTCGAAAATCATCTTCACCATTGAAAAGCTGCAAACAGCTCTCCCTAAGTATATAGTAATTCTATAAATATTATTTTAAATCTTATAAAGAAGCTTGTACCGTATAAAAGGCTCCCAAATGTGACCTGAATTTGAATTATATCTAATACCTAGGCCGAAACCACAGTTTATGGGAAACAGGAACAATGGGTTTCTAGAGTCAGCTATGCCTGTCACAGTCACAGAGTCTTCAGCTTAGGCCAGCAGAGTTCCTTTAGGTTGTTCTTGTGCTGCATGGCAAAAGGGGGAGGAAAATGGGGTCTACGGCTCTCGAACACGTCCTAGCGGTCTCGAGGTCCACGGCCCTCCCTGATCCCTAACGCTCAGTGGGCCTCCGTGGCCGGCTCCCAACACTCGGGAAAGTATTAGCTTCAGAAAACTGTGTTCTCTGAAAATATTTTCCTGTCAGGAGCGGTGGCTCCCTCCTGTAATCCCACACTTTGGGAGGCGGAGACGAGAGGGTTGTCTGTCCAGGAGTTCGCGGACAGCCTGGGCAATATGGCAAGGCCTTTTCTCTACAAGACATAAAAAAAACCAGCCCGACTCGGCAGCTCAGCCTGTCATCCCGCACCTTTGGGAGGCTGAGGTGAGTGGACTGCCTGAGCCCGTGGGTTCGAGACCCGCCTCATCTCTGCAATAAATCAAAAACAATCAGCCGGGCGTGGTAGCGCATGCCTGTAATTCCGGCTACTCGGAAGGCTGAGGCGGAAGGATCGCCGGAGCCCAGCAGGTCGAGGCTGCGGTGGCCGGGAGCGGCCACTGCACTCCAGTCTGGGTGACGGAGTGAGACTCCAACTCAAAAAAAAAAAAAAAGATATGATGAATATTATGAACATTTTAATGAGGACACACGAGAACACAGTCACTGTTATTTGGGTGTGTTTGCCTTGCTACACATCTCATACGTGTGAACACGTATGCTCCCAATATGTAGGGAGGGGCATCATTCTGTGGTTCACGCACACCCACCCTCCCAGCTGGGGTCCTGCCACACATTAACCATTCTGTGAACTAAGAATCGTGTCTTTCATCATTTTTAATATTCTTTCTTTTTTTTAATTATTTTTAATTTTTAATTGTTTGAGTTGGAGTCTCACTCTGTCGCCCAGACTGGAGTGCAGTGGCCGCTCCCGGC